TCAAGGGGCAGTAATCCTGTGATGATCTGGTTTGGAGTAGGGCTTCGATTTGTAGGATGTTTGAGTCGAGAATTCGGCCTTCCTGTCGGGGTTCTCATACTGATCCAAAGGATTGCTTCTCTTCTGGATCTCTATATCCTCTTCGAGCCTTATGAACCTCAATGCTCGGCACCTGAATTCATCCAATCTTTTGAATGGGGTCATCACAAGGTCTTCGTAGAAGGGTAAATCCTTTCTTAATCACATTTTAAAAGCATCCATAGCGGTGGCCATGTCAATGTTGGGGATGCTCAGAGCTTCCCTGTCAAACTTGTTAACAAAGTCCCTAAGTTTTTCCTTAGGATCCTAAACCACCCGGTAAAGATCACTAGTGATCTTTTCGAAGGTTCTGCTACAATAAAATTGGTTATTAAAGATACTTAATAAGTGTGCAAAAGATGTAATAGAGTATGGGGGAACGTTTAGTAACCATTTGAGGGCTGATCTTGTAAGAGTCGAGCCAAAGCCACTGCATAGGCAAGCTTCCTTCAAGTTCCCTAGGATAGGAATGATCTCCATCCTTTCTCTGTATTGGGCTATATGCTCTTTGGGGTTTGTAGTCCCATCATACAACTTCATGCTAGGAGTTTGGAAGCATTTAGGGACTTTGGTATCGGCTATCGCAAGAGAAAATCTCGAGATCTTGTGGCTTGTAGTGGACACTTCTGGTATCGGTTGGACCACTCCGGGTACACTGGAGATCATTTGTCTTAATTGTTGAAGTTCCTTAGCCATGTCCGGGTTTATTCCTGCATCAACATTAGTGTGGTTAGTATTAATAGTATTTCTATTTAAGAAGTTATTAAAGTCAAGGTTTCTAGGAGTGTTGAAAGGCTCATTGAGATCATTGATCATGGACGCTCGGTTGTCCATAGTTGCCCCCCAGGGTGACGCCACAGTGGTAGGAATCGTGTCCTTCTGGCGATTTTCTGAGGATCCTGCATTATTGAAGTCCAGGATCCTTGGTTGCACAATTGTGGGCGTAGTTTCCTGGGATTTCTAAAATTTCGCCTTCATCCTCTCCACTTCTTTGAGTAGGGATCTATTCTCCTCCTGCTATTGGGTCACCTGTTGCGTCATTTTCCTCATCATAGCGACTCTACAGTAATGTGTAGCACCTGGTTTCCGGTATGTGAATTTTATTTGAGCATTGCCCAATTTTAGCCTTGGACTCAGCGAGTCATAAGGTCCGACTCGCCGAGTAGGGACGAGACTCAGGACACGTTTAAGTGGGCGACTCGGCGAGTCCATATCCTGGACTCGGCGAGTCACCGCTGCTGGATGAAACCCTAAGTTTCAAGGGTTTGCACCCTATTTAAACCCTCATTCCGCCCCAACTCGTCCCCATTCACCCCCCAGAACTCCCCAACATCGTTTTCCCTTAATTCCTTGAGAGATTGAAGTGCTCTTGGTGTGTTCTTGAAGGTTTTGAGGAGAAAGAGGTGTAGATCAAGAAGAGGAGAAGGAGATCAGGCATCTTTGTGTCCTTTCAACATATTCCTAGAGGTATAGCTCGTTTCCCCTCTGTTTTCAAGCTTGTAATCCCTTTTTGCTTCATTGGAGTCCTTCTTGGGCTCTTCCCCAAGCTTGTTTGTGCTTTGTGGGTGATAATAAGTTGTTAGCCTTTAGATCTAGGCATGATTTAGTCCCTGGAGCTTGGATCTATTGCCTTTATGGGGTCAATTGCATGAAAGCCCTAGATCTACCTCTTTTGGTGCACTTTGAGCCTTAAAATCCATATTGGTGAATATCTACACGTAAAGTTGGAAACTTTACGTGTGAATTATGTCCTAGAAGCCCAGATCTGTGAATGGCATGGACTGGAATCGAGCAAATCGGTGTATTTGATGGATGCATGGCTGCGACTCGGCGAGTCATATATGTGACTCGACGAGTCTGGTCGCGAGTCACTGAACTGGTCCCTTTAAGATGTATCGAGTTGAGCCGTGAGTCACAGGGGGTGACTCGGTGAGTTGGAAGCTGAACTCACTCATGAAGGACTCGGCGAGTCAATGCCCTGACTCGGCGAGTCCAAGGCAATCTTCATAGATCAAGAACAAACTCGGCGAGTTGTTCATACAACTCGGCGAGTCTTAGCATATGTGTTCTTCGGATGAAGATGAACTCGACGAGTTGTTCATACACTCGGCGAGTAGGATGAAGGAGTTGAATGACAGTTTAGAAGATGAACTCATCGAGTCATAGCCCAACTCGACGAGTAGAATCAGGGACCCAGGACAATAGTTTGCTAGGGACTCGGCGAGTGGAGATCCACTCGGCGAGTTGGGTCAACTAAAAGTTGACTTCGATTTGACTTAGGGCTAGACCAGGGGTAAAATGGTCTTTTTACCCAAAGGACAGTTAGCAGTATATGATTAAGTATATTGTGGGAATTACAGCCGGGGAGTTTCCGGAGCAGCAGCCGCAGTAGTAGGTGATCAATTCCCACACAGACCAGCAGCTATTTCGAGGTGAGTTTCCTTCCAGTAGTAACGGGTCTAAGGCACCAAGGTCGGCCCGTATAGATGAGACGTTAGTATTATAGTGTGGGCCGAGCCCGTATCTATTAGTTGAGTTGATTATGATATATGCCAGTATGATAGAATTGTTTACACTTGTTGTCTATGCGATACTTGTATGATATGAGTTGGCAGTTGAGTGTGGGCGAGGCCCGTATCTCTCCGAGAATGGAGTGTGGGCTAGGCCCGTATCTCCCAGATAGCAAAGTGTGGGCGGGGCCCGTATCTTCACGAGTGTGGGCGGGGCCCGTATCTCTCAGAAAGTGAGGTGTGGGCGGGGCCCGTATCTTCACGAGTGTGGGCGGGGCCCGTATTTCCTAATTGCATGTTATTTGTTAGATGCTTGTATGGTATGGGATATTATGGGGGAGCTCACTAAGCTTTGTGCTTACGGTTTCAGTTTTGGTTTCAGGTACCTCCTCAGCTAGGGGAAAGGAGCCGGCGCGGTAGCAGCATGTCACACACACACTCTTCGGTTTCCGCATTTACGAGATTCACTGGGATTGTACTCTGATATTTGATGGGATGTATGGTTTGACTTTTAAAACATGGTTTGCGATGTGTTATGGTGTGATCAAACAATGTTTTTATTTATTAATGTTTTCTAAAGTAATATTTTAAAATGAAATTTTTAGACATGAAAATTGGGTCGTTACATAATGACTGAGGCATTCGGATCCTGGAGCCCTAAGGATCCCAAACTTCCAGGATTAGCGATTGTGGGGGTGCTTTTCTTGGAAGTGTCGGACGTTTTCCTCTGAGTAGAAGGTCCACTTAGAGGAGGTGGTAGGTTTTTGGTTGGAATGGAAGGAGCAGAGGACGAAGAGAGGATCGATTGTGTAGACATGATTTTTTTTTCGAGGATTTTGAACACCACGGCCCTACGGTGGGTGCCAATTTGTTTTGGTTAAAAATTACACAAATACTAATCAACCAAAATTAATGGGAGGCTGTGATATTTATATTGTGTAATAGCAACTAGTAAAAGAAAAATGATACAATGGTTTACAAGGAAATCCCTTGATCTTTGCTAGGATCTCCGGCATAAAACATTGGGAAGTGATGATGATCTCCTGCCTTGATGATTTTATTGATATAAAGTAAAGATTACAATGATTTCTTAGTAAAAATGAGCAAAGAATTTTGTAGAGTAAGCTTAAACTAAAGAAACGTGTGTTCTGGGTCTTTGACCAAAATCCAGCCAACAAGATATCCGATATTTCCAAAATCCTCGATTACCAGCTTCATGAACATTATTTGACCAAGTATTCTGGGTCTTTAGCATAGTTGAGATGATTCTTCGTTGAGAATTGGTCTTCCCTTGACTACTTCTGCACACGTGTTAATTATATAGACAAAATGTGATCGTTACAAATATTGATAAAAATAGTAACAGTATTTAACTGGGATCCTGATGTTGCTGAGGATCCTAGATATTTGAGGATCTTGGATATAGTAAGGATCCTGGTCCCAACAGTATCTTAGATACCTTCTTAGTTGGTATAAGGTTTAGAAGGTAAGCAACAGTTTCTAAGGCATAGCCCCATAAACTTATGGAAAGTGTAGCACGAGTCATCATAGATTGAACCATGTCTAACAAGGATCGATTTTTCCTTTCAAACACACCATTGTGTTGTTTCCTAATGGAGCAAGTTGTGAAACTATTCCACTAACTCCTAAGATTATCGGAGAATTCATCACTAAGATACTCTTCGCCTCTATCAGATCAGAATATCTTGATTTTCTTGTCTAGTTGGTAAAACTTCACGCCAAGTTTGTGAAACACACCATGATTAATTGGATAACAAGTATGATTGGTATACAAAATCGAAAGTATGTCGTTATATTTTGCTCAAATTTTCAAACTACAACGCCTTGACAAGAGAATATATATATATATATATATATATATATATATATATATATATATATATATATATATATATATATATAATGTGAGTGTGTGTGTGTGTTTTAACGGAAAGAAACAAAAGTATGCTGCTAGACACACAAATAAATAAAAGAATATTCATTTCTCGATGTCCCCTGCTAAACGGGAAAGAACATTGTAAAATGCTCAAAATGACTTTGTTTTGAGCATTTCGCAATGTTTTTCCATATTTCATAGTTGGCACTAAGAAATTTGTGGTTATATATATTTGTCTTTTTTTTTTTTTTCTTATATAAACTGTCTTAATATTAGTTAGATTTTTTAACCCTTTTAGATTCGTATTTGCTAACGATACATTTTCCAATAATATCTTACATGTTATGGTCTCTCCCTATTATGGATTTGGGTCTATTCATGGCGACCTATGGCTTCACGTTACCGTCTTATTCACAACTCCATCATATTCATATCCACCTTTCAAATTTATTAACTTTTAAATTATATCATGTCGTATTGCACATGTATACAACTATTATATATTTAAAAAAAATGACCTACTTTATATTTATCTAAAAATTTTTATTATATTAGAAATGCTTCATTTGCCCTCCCCATTTCATTAGCCTTCCATTTAATTATACCATCACAAAGAAACCCAAACATTGTCAAAATTTTGATGGGTACATGTATTACCCGCTGATCATTCGGTTCATACAATAATACAAAATTGATATTAAAAAAATCCTTAAAGAATCACTATCACTCCTCATCGGAATAATTGAACTTTATGGAGTGAGATTGTAGGTCTATTAGGCCTCCTCTATAACTTCCACGTTTCTTCTTTGTCTTCTCATGTCGAAAATCCCTATAAGCCAAAAAGAAAGAGACCCAAGTGAGGATTTGTGTATTGAATATTGTACTGTGTTTCACATACATTGAACTGTGTTTCACATACATTGAACTCGAACTAAAAGTCTAATTATGGTACAAGATATTTTCTATTATTTGGTAGAAATTTTCATCTTCCTTTGTTGGCCAAGTATTTTAAATAAATATTTATGTAGATATTATTATGTAATGATATAAGTTTGACCATGGTTGACCAAACATACCTCCCTCTCACTTGACCTAGAACTTCTTGTGCTTTAGCACCATACCCAATCTCTGCACCATCCTGCAATATGCAATTTAAGAACATTACATTAATACTTGTTTCTTAAAGGACTAAATGAAAAAAAATAGCAACATACTTTCATTTACTTTTTATAATAGCATCTTAGTTTCATGTATTTAAATGTAACCATTTCTCAAAAACATCAAGTGAGAAAAAGTTGGGGGATAAAAGGTTAATCATCTCACCTTCGCCCAATAAGAATTATCTTGTAATTTCTCGTGTGCGAATTCCACTTGATCGATTTTCACCCTTTGAAATGCATTTACTGTTTTTGGCTGCATCAAATCAGAAAACAAGATAAGGTTTTCTAGGGCACAAAGAAGAACAAAAAGAATATGAAATACAAGTTTAAAAATATCAATTTAAATCACTATCAAGAAAAATGTATGCATACCTCAGTTGTGACATTTTGTTGTTTTTTTGTTGATTTATGGGCACCCGACTTTTCACCATTCATCTCAAGTTGCCCATTTGTCTGTTTATTAGATGTTTCTTGTCCATTGTTTTCTTCCTTTTTACTCTTTTTTTCTTTTAAAGTTTCAGTCTTTTGGCACTTGGATTCTTCAGTAACTATCTCAATTTCATCAGAATCGGATCTTTTTCTTTTCTTGGAACTCTTTTCTTCTTTTTTAGTCTCATATGGCTCAATACGTTCCTTTTCAGTGTCTCCAGAATCATTGCTCAACTTCTTTTTCTTCTTTTTCTTCTCTTTGTCTGCAACTTTCTTGGTTGAATCCTCTATTTTTAATCCATTTATTGTATCATTTACGGGTGTTTTTACTACAATAGATGTTGCTTCTTCAGCTTGAATAGAAGAATTTGAATCATGTTTGATTTTCTTTTTCTTTTTCGGTTTTGTTTCTCGTTCATTGACTATGATATCTTGACCACAATTCTTACCAAATTCGAATATCTTTTTATCAGTGACTTCTTGTTGATCTTTAATAGCACTGTTTTCACTCTCAATGACACCCTTTTTCTTCTTCTTTTTGGTTGTTATTTCCTCATTGGTGATGCAAAAGTTATCTTTTTTTATAGCCTCATCATTTCCTAACACTGCAACAACCATATGATCAATGTCACATAGACAAGTATATATATAAGGCTAAATACAAGAAACAGCAACGTGGTTATAATTATTTGTATTATAGCATTGTCCTCCATTTTTTCTTAGTAAAGTTTTGTACTTTAAGTAAATAATAATATACCCAATTGTAGAATTGTGCTTTCAAATTTTATCCTTGTTAGGATATTGTACTTTCAAAATCTACCACATATAAAAGTGAAACTTTTGTATTTGGAAGTAGGATGTTATAATAAATCAATGAAATGTGTTGCTGTTTCTTGCATTCAATCCATATATTATCAAAATTTTGACTGAATTACCTGGTGTCTTGCTTGTGTTCTTATTACTATCAGCATTGCTGCATAACATAAAAAAACAGAAGCTCAAGCTGATGAGATCATTATATATTTTATCAGATAATCAACTAGAAAACAATTAGGAAAACAAGAGGCTTGACATATGTTTTACTTTATAGGTTTTATTGTTTCAATGCAAAGATAATAATGCTAATTACATTTCATATGATAAAAATTTAGCTTTTTAAGATCGATGCATGATAATTACTGCTTCATTTAATCAAACTTGGAAAGGCACTAGAGCTATAAATATAATACACTAATGTGACTTTTTCTCATCTGACCAAGTGTTGTAGTTGCAGAATATGTCCTCCAAATGTAGCAGAGAAGCCTTTTGTGTATCAGTCTACATTAAATAAAGTACAATCATCAAGAATTCCAACGTTAATTTGAAAATGTTACACAACATGATAATTGATAGATAATAAACAGTAAAAAGTATACATTTTTTTTATCAAGAAAAAATCATTACAACATGGGTTTTCATCATTATCACCATATTCATGATTCAAGTTCCTGGGATTATATAGGGAGACACCACAGACCACAGAGGCTTCCAAGGTGCCATTTCTTGAATTCTTAATAAACTTAATGAGAACAGTCCTTAATCTAATAAGCAGTATATTGGCCTTTTTTTTCACTTGATGCAGAAAGAATTAACTCATGGAAATAAGATTATCCAAATTAAGTCCTAATTTTTTACAAATCTACCTTAATTTATTTTTCCCAAGCGTGCCATCTTTTTAGCAAATCTTTTTTTAGACATCATTTATCAAGACAGTGCTTAATGGGAATATAAAAGAAACATGACCTAAAAAGGAATAGATTCTTTAAAATAAGATTTTTAAGTGGCATGAAAATTGCAGGCAGGACACGCAAAGGTTCATGTGCAAAAACTATTACAATTTTTTGTTTTCTACATTGTTTCTCAATAAGGATTTGAATTCTTATACAATTCAAATGCTTCCATATTCACAGTTGCACTAAAATCACACAGAGTCATTTATATACAGCACTAAGCATCCACCTAGTAAGTAAATAACAAACTTGAGTTCCAATATTTATGATGTATTATAAAAACTACTCAAAGTGTTTATGGTTGATACCTAAGAGCTATAGAATCTTATGTTATGACTCTTAACAATAACAGCAAATGTTCACATTTGTCTCTTATATTCTCTTAGTCAGCATTTGCAGTTCTACCAAGAAATCATACACAGCTAAAGGTTCAAATCATTGGTAGCAACATCAACAAACAAAATCTATATATGATTATCCAGTACAAAAGCTCAAAGCCTTCCTAGTTGTCCCCATGGCAATAGCAATTATAAAGTTCCAAGCTTTGCATCCTACAAGCTTTGTTTGAGGGTGTTTCATTGTGCTTTTAAAATGAGTCACAATAACACATACTGTTTTGCAAAAACAGATTAAGATTTTCATTTTATAGAGATAGATTTGAAGTTACCAAACTGTCGCTAATTTTAACATTAACCAACTAATCAACTGATTTTCATTATTCAACTCACAAGAATCACTTGTAAAACACACATCCAGTTATCGAAGCACACCCTTAATCAGCTTTAACTGCTCATACAGCATATTCGTCTATGAATATGTGGATATATGGTTACAATATAATATGCATATATATAGGAGGGATGGAGGGACCTGAATTGGAGCTTCTGACTGAAATCGTTTGAGGGTTTTGGAGAATCCGTTACGATGGAAGTAATCAAGCATAGATTGGTGAAGAGCTCCTTTCAATTCGGGGGTCAAAGATGTGATGTTGCTGCTATTTTCCTCCTTCAAAGCAGAAGCAGCCATCGTGCTTCTTGAACTATGCTGAGCAAGGAGAACTTGGCGAGGCTTAAATGCAAGTAGGGATATAGAGGACGCAGTCGTGTGAGAATTGCTAGGATTTTTGGTGTCCAAATGGAGCATTACAAAGAAAGAGCTCTGCGTTGTATGCTGGGCCAAACAAGGTTTTACAAAGTTGCAAATTAGGGTTCTATTCAATTGGGGTAAAATAGAAAGAAAATCACGGATCTATACTTAACCGGAAACATATGCAGTTTTTGTAACGGTCATGAATAATGTTTTAGGTTAGTTTTTTAACCCGTCAACTTGACAACTCGTTTATTAAACAAGGTATATATGGGTTTTTTTAAAAATAAACGGGTTGATCCGCCAACCTGTTTATATTTTTAATAAAAAAAATTATTTTATTTTTAAATGTATTTATGTATCAAGTATTAAGACTTAAGTGTCTAAATGGGAATTGTGGTTATTACTTTAGCACTTAAATTATTTGTGTTTGTATTAATGTTTAGTTTGAACATGTTTCTATGAATGTTCCTAATTTTCATTTGGATGTTTAAGGGCGTGTTCGGCACGGAGCATTTGAGAGCTTCTAGCTTCTAGTGTTTAATAAAACGCTCAGTTTTGAACAGAAAGTCTTGTTCAGCACTCCGGTTGGCCAGTTCGTGGGTTAGATTTCATAAATAAAATTGACAATTAAACATGAATAATTTTTTTATGGTTGATGCAAACATATCCGGATTTTAGACACTTAAGTTTTAGGGCGTGTTCGGCAAAATTAGTTGGTAGCTTGTAGCTTGTAGCGTTTTGTTAAACGCTACATGAAGTAGCATTTGGATTTGGGGTTAAAATAAATTAAACGCTAGAAGCTTGTAGTGCCATAGGAAGCTTTTTGTTTTAAACGGAACATTTTGTCAAACGCTTCAAAACGCTCCGTGCCGAACACACCTTACTTTATGTAGCGTTTAACAAAACGCTACAAGCTACCCGCTACCAGTTAATTTTGACGAACACGCCCTAAAACTTTAGTGTCTAAAATTCGGATATGTTTGCATCAACCATCAAGAATTTATTCATGTTTAATTGTCAATTTTATTTATAAAATCTAACCCACGAACCGGCCAACTAGTGACCCGTATAAATAAATGGGTTGGCGGGTCATATATGGGTTTATATTTCAAACCCGTCAACCCGTAACTTTTATATTTTAAATGGGTCGTGTTTGGGTTGGCATATTTTGACTCGTCAACCCGCCAACCCGAACACAACACGATTGTCAGACCTAATCATGATAGGGATGGAGTCGAGTCGGCAAGCTCGGCAAATGCCCCCATGTTCCAACCTGACAAGTTGGGAGGGTTAACTCGGCATGGGTGTAGATGACAGAATTATAATGCTCACATAATATGGCTATTTGTATTATAATTTATTAAGTATTTGTAATAAAAGTATCTTAGTTAAGTTTATAAAAACCTAATATATTATATTGTTTTTGTAAAATGATAAAAGTTGAATAAAAAATATATCTAAAATATTATTTTTAGTGTTAAATATAATGTAATGGGTATGAAGAATTTAATATTTACATTATCTTTTACACTATAATTATAAATATAATGTAAAGATATAGTATTAAGGGTTGGAAATGGTCTAAATATTCAACCTCTTTATTTCCACCATCTTCAAACCTTTTCCATCTCTGAAAATGGCTCAATTTTGGACCACGGATGAAAAGATCATTTTGGCTCGTGCATGGGTCGATAGGGGTGTGCAAAAAAACCGCAAAACCAAAAAACCGAGCCGAGCCGGCCAATCCGAAATCGAAAAAACCGGATATCAACGGGTCGGTTTGTTGTTTTGATATTTAGTATCCATGGATACCCGAACCGAACCGTTTGATATATATATATATATCCGGTTTTTTCGGTTTCGGTTTTTTTCGGTTATGGTTCTTTTCGGTTTCGATTTTTTCGGTTTCGGTTGGGCAGGTTCGGCTTGGTTTTTTTTGCAGTTTTTTGCACACCCCTATCGATCCATGCACGAACCAAAATGATATCTTCATCCATGATCTAAAATTGAGCCATTTTCAGAGATGGAAAAGGTTTGAAGGTGGTGGAAATAAAGAGGTTGAGTATTTAGACTATTTATGTGTGATTGTTTTATTTTCAAATTTGATTATTTTTGGTTTAAAATTTTCTAAGAAAATTATGAGTTTTAATAAGTATGATTTAGAGACAAGACCAATGATTCGATGGATTAGCGTAAAACACGCAAATAAGGATGTAAGACGCGATGTCGGACCACAATCATCGTCGGGACGACTCTCCTCTATTCATAATTATTAAAATAAGTAAGCTTTCTTATAAAATTTTAAAACAAAATAAGTCAAATATGAGTAGACTTTCACGCATATTATCCAAAAGATACATTCATGGTAAAAGTATTAATGAAGAACCAGACTATGATAATAATCAAATAAGCTCTATCGAAGAAACTATTGATGGCATACAACAAAGTTTAAATGATTTGACAATACCAAAAACAAATATAAATACAATAACTTTCGATTATTTTCAAAGTTACCCAATCAAAATGACCGAACAAACCATGTCTATTGGTCAAAATCAACAAAATTTAAATATATTATCACTTAAATCTATTTTAGAACATAAACAAAAATATAAATTTCTTTATATCGGTTTAGTACAAAACTACAAATTACTATTAAACTTTTATTTAGAATTGGTATTGATGCTCCTTTTCTCCTAATTTTAAGAGATAAAAGGCATAAAGATTTTCAAAATTTTATTTTAGCTATGGCAGAAACAAATATTGTTAACGGACCAATTTATTTTAACTGTTATCCAAATTTTTCTATAGAATTATTCGATAAAAATATATTAAATACCTTAGTTTTAACAGTAGAAACAAAAAAATTAGAATTTAAAGATAATATCAAGCCTTTAGCAATAATCTATCGTGTTTATTATAAAACCATGACAACTACGTTAGAACCAAGAACCACTCTATCAAGCCCAATAAATAAAACAATTATTTTTTAAGCAAATACTAACCATACTAAGGTTCATATGCCTAAAAGACTTAAATGGTCGGAAATACTCAATTATGTAATTGGAATTTACAAAACGTTATTGAACCAAAGACTTTAGATTCTTCAAAACAAATTTCTAATATTATTGAACATAACGACAGATCGGTTGGTATAAATTTTTCTTCAATAAATTTTTTATAATCACGATTTTCAACAAGTTTGATTTCATAAGTTGGCACATCAAAACATTCACTTTCAAAATCAAGATCTTTAAAACTAAAGGTTGTTGATTATACTAATTCCATTCCTAAACCACTTTATCAAGATGAACAAAATAGTGAAACTAGTTTACCTAGTCCCACTAAATATGATTTTATAGATGAACTTCAAAATTTTAAACAACAAATAGGAGTAATAAAGCTCAAATATATTATAATTTCGATAATAATTATAATACTAATTCACTTCAAAAATTTTGGCAAGACTTAAGCACTTCAACAAAACACTTAAAAGAAAAGCAATTAGAAGTAAAAGAATTAATACCTAAAGGCCAAAATCATACTGCAATTCAATTAGTTAAAATAGGAAGAATAAAATTTGAAATTAGTCATTTTAAAAAAGTCATAAAATGTATCAGTTATTTAATTAATCATCTGACAGTTTATTAATTTGTTAAATGAGTTCTAAAATACATATTTATTGTTCTAAAAATAATCGGTTTTGGAATAACATAATAAAAAGACATTGGAAGATAAACTCTAATATGTGTAAAATTATTCAACATTTAAAAGATTCAAGATCTCACGAGAAACATTATTTATTAAAACTACAAGTCAATAGCCCTACGTATGATAAACAAATAGAAAAAATTTCTCGATCAACTGAAATGATCAAGATATACAAACAGTCAAGAAATCGTAATCTGGAAACAATAAATTATGTTTCTTCAATCCTAACTAAAACAATTTGTTAATATGAATTTTCCTAAACAAGAATATCACGTTGAATTCAATTACTTAAAAACATTGAATATTATAAAGAATATAATAATAAGAAAAAGAGTTTGGCATAACAAAGAATTTTCATATTATTTAAGGTTTCTACATTTAGGACTTTTGGAAGATTATATTTTAACAAACAAAATTCATTCTCCAATTTTTCAATGGTTTTAGTTATTTTATGTTTCTAAACATAATATTGATTATCTATTAAATAATAATTCTATTACTCCTATTTTTAATAAATATATATATATAGATATTGATTCTAATCAACAAACTATTTCAAATTATCCACCAAAAAATGGATTATTATTGATTAAGATATTTTAACAACTCCTCTGGTAAAAGATTCAAATCAACAAGCAACTGAAAAAAATTGCAAAATATTATTTATCAAAATAATTACTTAAATGAAGTTTTAACAACTATTGGAGAACAATTAGATAGAATAGAAGATAAGATTTTAAAAGAAAAACCTTTACAAAAAAACTTTAACAAATTTAGAAATAGAAACAATAAAAATAAATAAAACATTAAAAAAATATGGAATTACAATTATTCAAACGGAATGAGAAAAAAGATGAAACAAGTTCTAGTAATTATTCAAATGTTAGCTTTGTTCCTTATCAAATTAAAAGCAATTTTAATTTAGGAAATAAAGACTTAACAGATGAATTAGAAAAAAGACTATCAAAATTAAATATCAAAAATATTAATACTCTTAAACAAATAGCAACTAATGAATCTAAAGATATTAATAGTGATAGCGAAATTGACATTAATACTCTTGCTCAACAATTTACAAACAATCAAGCTATTAATCAACTTACTAATGAAATTTCTAAATTAAATAAAATTAATCAATCCGAACGTAACACAGTTGGAAGAAATCAAAAGCCAACATTACGAAATTATTGGAATAGACCTTCTCTTCCTGATGTTCAAATTGAAGAAAGAGCATTCCAGTATGATCGTTCTGCCTATGATGGAACTTCTATTTACGAATGGAATATCAATGGATGCTATGAACATCAAATAATGAATATCGTTCAACAAATATCTATGGCAGCTAACGCTTACAAGTCAAAAGCTAATACTCAACTTACAATTGTTAATATCATTCTTTCTAGGTTCACTGGAACTCTTAAAGGCTGGTGGGATTTCTATGTTACACTAGAA